GAGAGAGAGAGAGAGGGAGAGAGGGAGAGAGAGGAGAGAGAGAGAGGGAGAGAGGAGAGAGAGAGAGTAGGTGGAGGAGGGAGAGGGTGACCGTGTTCCCAAGGTCAAAGAAGCGCCTGCAGTCAAACTCCTCTCTCTCTCTCTCTCTCTCTCTCTCTCTCTCTCTCTCTCTCTCTCTCTCTCTCAAATACACACATAAACCGCTTCGTCTCCAGCCACAAAGTTCTTACGATTATCTCCTGGAGCATCACCCCCCCTCCCCCTCCCCCACTCCTTCAATGCTGACGAGGCGGGGAGGGATGGAGGGAGGGAGGGAGGGGGGGCTTTAAGATAACTGGGGAAAGGGGGGGGGGAGTAGGAGTAGGAGTAGGAGGGATATGTGGTTGGAAGGCTAGGAAGGGCAACCCCTCCCCTCCCCTCCCCCCCCACCTCGCAGGGTCACGGGAGTCTGACCTCTGCTCTTTGCCTCGGAGACGACTTGAAAAAATCCACGACGTAGGAGGCCGTGGCCAGCCCGCCCCCAGGTGCCGGAGTCAACTTAAGCACGAAACTGACACGACAAGTTTTTTTTTTTCTATTTTTTTTTTTTTCTTCTATTTTTCTTTTTTTTCTTCTTCTATTTTTCTTTTTTTCTTCTTCTTCTTCGACTACGTCTGTACCTCTCACGGGCTATGTGACTTTTGGCTCGTTCCACAGAAGTATTGCGAGATCCTCTTCTTCGTCGAGAGATTTCAGCCACGTTCGTTTTGTTTACATCTGCATAATCACTTTTTTTTTTTTTTTACGGATAGCGATTAACATGTAACATGCCAATGATTAAGAAACCCAATTAGTATGTAAATAAACTATTTGAAATACATATTCACTCGCGGGCCGATGTTCCCGGGTAATATATTCAAGACCGATAATTATGGAGAGAGAGAGAGAGAGAAAAAAAATGAAAACAGGTACAAGCCAATGAAACTGAATAACGGCGTAGATATAAGGAAGTGCGGGAGGAAGAAAAATGACCTAGAGAAAATAAGTAAGATATAATAAGATATAATCATTTAAATATGTATTACTTAAGATTGAATAATAAAAAAAATCGTAATAACGCTGATAATGATAGACACTCATGGAGGATATAATTGCAAAAGACAAACACACACACCACCACACACACACACACACACACACACACACACACACACCCAAGACAAGAAAAGGCAAGAGAGAGAGAGAGAGAGAGAGAGAGAGAGAGAGAGAGAGAGAGAGAGAGAGAGAGAGAGAGAGAGAGAGAGAGAGAGAGAGAGAGAGAAAGAGAAAGACAAAACAAAAAAAAAGTGTCAAGATGCATTAATACCGCGCGCGCGTCCTCAGCTTGAAATCCGATATTAAAGCGGCCATGTCGCTGGAACACGCAAGTTAGTGTACAATTGATGGTTAGGCTGTTACGGCCAATCTTAACCCAGGCCACTTGCGTCACAGCTCTGACCAAGGGGTGGGGGTAGGGGGGTAGGGGGTTGGGGTGGGGGAGCCAGGGGGGGAAGGGGTGGGGTGGGGGTGCCGGAGGGGAAAGGGTAGGGGGGTGCTGGGGGTCGGGTGTGGGTGGGGTGGGGGTGGGGGGAAGGGGTGGGGGGTGGGGGTGTTAGTGGGGGAAGGGGTAGGGGGGTGGGGGTGCTGGGGGGAAGGGGTAGGGTGGGGGGTGGGGGTGCTAGGGGGAAGGGGTGGGGGGGGGTTAAGGAACCTTTGTCGAGGCTGTAGCGATGTGACAATGGTAGGCGGGCAAAGCGATCGCTCTAGAGAAGGGAGGTGAGGAGAGAGGAGGGAGGAGGAGGGAGATGAGGGATGTGGAGGAGGAGAGGAGGAGGAGAGGAGAAGGAGGAGGGGGGAGGAGAGAGGAGAGGAGGAGGAGGAGGAGGAGAAGAGGAGGGGGGGAGGAGGAGGAGGAGAAGAGGAGGAGGAGGAGGAGGAGAAGAGGAGGGAGGAGGAGGAGAAGAGAGGGAGGAGGAGGAGGAGGAGGAGGAGGAGAAGAAGAGGAGGGAGGAGGAGGGGAAGTGAGGAGAGGAGGAAGAGAGGAGAGGAGAGGGGGAGGAGGAGGAGGAGGGAAGGGAGGAGAGGAGGGGAAGAGGAGGAGGAGGGAGAAGGGGAGGGGAGGAGGAGGAGGAGAGGAGGAGGAGGAGGAGGAGGAGGAGGAGGAGGGAGAGGGGGGGGGAGGAGAGAGGAGGAGAAGAGGGAGGAAGAGGAGGGAGAAGGGGGATGGGAGGAGGGAGGAGGGAGAAGGGTGAGGGAGGAGAAGAGGGAGAAGAGGGAGGAGGAGGAGGAGGGAGAAGGGGGAGAGGAGGAGGCAAGGGAAGGGGGAAGAGAGGGGAAGAGGGCAAGAGAGGAGAGGAGACCGAATGGGGTTCATGAAGGAGGAGGAGGAGGAGATAAGTGGGAAGGAGGAGCAAGAGTAGGTCGTGAGGATTAGGGGGAGGAGAGGGTAAGGAGGAGGTCTTGGAAGGTGGGATGGGGGAGGGAGGAGGGGGGGAGGAGGGGTAGGAGGGACGGAGGAGGAGAGAAGTAGGGAGGAGGGGCGAGGGGGGGGAAGAGGGTAGGAGGACGATGCCGGAGGAGGAGGGGGGGCGGGAGAGGGTAGGGGGGGAGGAGGGGCGAGGGGGAGGGAGGAGGGGGAGGAGAGGAGGAGGGGAGGAGGAGGAGGAGGAGGAGGAGGAGGAGGAGGAGGAGGAGGAGGAGGGAAGGAGGGAGAAGAAGAAGAAGAAGAAGAAAAAGGAAAAAGCGAAGGAGGAGAAGAGGCGGAAGAAAGAGAAGGAGGAGCAAGAGAAAAAGAGGAAGAAAGGAGACGAGGAAAAAGAGGAAGGGGAAGAAGAAGGGGGTGAGGAAGGAGACGAATAAGAAGACGAAGAGGAAGAAGGAGGTCAGAGGAAAAGTAACACGATAATTACTGCATCTGTATAACCACTTTGCTTTCGCTTCCGGGATAATATTTCTAGCGTGGACCGTAAACAAACGTTTGTTTAGGCAAAGAAAATGCAAACGCTAGATCACAATCTGACATTGGCCTTGGCGAACTGGTTATACAAGGGCACTGCACTTGTTCTGACTGGCGCCGTAACTCGATATGTTAATACCCTGACCGATGGATTATGAACTTGAATCACAAAGCAGTTATCAAAGGTGCTTCTGCAATCATCTGCGAGACAAAGCCCTTAGCGGCACATGCAGAGTGCATAATCAATTCGGGTCGGATTTTTTTTCTCCCTCTCTCGATAAGAGATCGTTCTTGATACAGACCACAAGGATGCATCTACATCTCTTTCTATCATTATATAAACCTGCTTTAGATATCAAATTACAAACAAGTCCTACATACATATAATTTATATATAATATATATATATATATTACGTACATATATCATATATCATACACGCATAACTACATATGCGCATTTCCTAGTAACCTCAATGGCTTCTAAAGGCCTCCCGAAAGGTCACTGCTTCGAAAGCAATCTGATAAAATATGCCCTACAGATGTTCCACCTCCTCGTGATCCCGGCCCAACAGGCGACACCTCTCTCTCTCTCTCTCTCACACACCTCCACTTCTTCACCTGCCACACCTCTCATTAGCTCCGTGTGAGTGACCTGCACATCGATTCCGGATCTGCGATTCCCGTGAGGCCTTGCAAGACCTTCGGGGTGGGCAGGCGGCATCTCCTTAACTAGGTCGCCTATTGGAGAGGAAAAAAGTCATAGATATTGGTATAACAGAAGGACACGTATTAACGGGAATTTTTGCGTTTCTTACGGTTCGCCATTGTGCCATAAGCTTGTATTTTTCGCAGGTAAATCGCGGAGTAATTACCAGCAAGTGCATTGACGTTAGTACCGTAGAGGATACGACCGCACGGGCGAGATAAGACAGGAAATGTGGAGAGTCTGGCGACTACCAGTACGTCATGGTGTTGTGGCTGCAGCGCGCAGGTCGGGGTGAAAGAGCCACCATCATACACCCAAAAACCCATTTTTAACCTTATTTCCATAAACCGACCTAAAATAACGCTAGAATCAACTTTCGCCTGACGTTTTGAAATCCAATAGCCACATTCACTTCCACAAATCTTAAGGATAAAATCACTTCTTTTCAATTCACTGATCTGATCCAATTGTCAGACCGTCTCTGACACGTACCCTATGAAAGACACGTGCTGAATGCCGTCTTCGCTGCTCGGTCGCGTGTTTTGGTGCCGACCGCGCGTGCACATACATCCGCGTCAGTAAGTAGATCCATTAACCTCCATTAATTAAGTGGTTGATATTCATTTTTCATTGATCATTATCATTTTTATATGATCAATCATGTTTCTATCAGTCTCAGACAAGGCTACTTACTTGATTTAAAACTGTTTTATTTTTCTTTTGAGAAACGTCAGAGTGGCAATTTCCTCGAATACAAGCGGAGTACAAAATGACTCACTAAATCTATAAGTGTTTAGTGCTGTTGTGTCACTACCCTCTTATTGTATGGGCGTAGAAATAAAACCAAAGTGTGACTATAGCATCATTTGCCCGCTCCTTAAAATACCGTTGGTAAGCACGTGCTATAACACGGCTCTTCCTGAATTCTTGCGACATTCTACAGACACGTGCTCTATGTAGCTGGTCTATAAATAGTAATGGCCCAAATTTGATAAACTGACTCTATCATTTTAACAGGTGCATAATCACATTATGCAAGCTAAAACAGACTGCAGGTACATACTCCCCTTATCTTGCCATCCATTTCTCCATGTCATATGACACCAAATTTTAAATCATGAATTTTAACGCACACAAAACATACCATTACCTGTGAATAACACATCGTTATTACCGTTAGAGGTTATAAATGAGCTACACAATGAAATGCAATGAAACTGCATTCAATAATTCGTATTCACCGCGTCTATGACGTCATAGATCACCCAAATTGTATTCTTCCGCGAACTATGGCTCTCCAGCTGATACTGCAGAGGCA